GTAGCCTCCAGGGTGTTTCCCTCTTGGCACCTGTTTACATGTACCACCACTATTTCAGTTGGGAGCAAGAGACTTTTTAGGACCTCTTTGATTAATTCCCCATGTATTAATTTTTTCCCTTACTGTTTATGAGCCCTCATTCTGTCCAGATTTTTCCAAAGGTATGTACCACCCCAAAGAAATACTTGGAATCGTTGTAGATAGTACTTTCCTGTGTTGCAAGAAAACTTAGGACCTGATCCAGGGCATATAATTCACAGGTTTGTGCGACCAGTTATTAGGTAGTCAGCCCTTCTCACATTTGGACGGTTGATTTCCATAAATGCCTGCATATCCTTTGTGTCTGTTTCCTTCTGTTACTCGGGAGGACCCATCTATGAACGGCCCAGCCTAGCCCCAACATGTAATGGGACTTCCCTAAGTCCAATCTGAATTTGGTTTGATATTCAATGATGTCTAGACAGTCATGGTCTATCATCCCCTGGTTTTCTTCTCCCTTCCATAAGAAGCTAGATGGATTCAAACAAGTGTCTGTTGTTAAGACCAAGTCATCCTTATATTTAAAGATTCGGGAATCTGTCAGCCATCTTCCCACTGTCTAATTAAGTATAGTCCTGACTTGGTGGGAAGTACTATTAGGGCTCCTCCAAAGTTCAGTTTCCTGCTTTCCTGTACCAATAGGGCAGTGGCTGCCACTGTCTGGACACATTCCGGCCACCTCCGAGAGATGGGGGCAAGGACAAAGGCGGTAAGCTGTCTTTTTCCTCCCCATGTCTGCGTAAGTATCCCTAGGGCCACACCTTTATCTACTGTGACAAACAAGTGAAGTGGCTTATCTAAAGGATGGAAGAGTCAGGCCTGGAGCTGTAATAAGGGACCGTTTTAATTCCCCTCTAGCCTGCTTTTCCTCTGGCAACCACTGTAAGGGGTCATGTTCTTCTTCTAACAGTTTCATATATAAAATGTTTGTTCTCTGGGCATAAGAGTCAGTCCACAGCTGACAGTAGCCAATTAACCCAAAAAATTTTGAGTTCTTTCTTGGTTTTTGGCAGGGCCAAATTTATTATGCCAGCCTTTCTCCCCCACCTCCTTTTTTTTTTTTTTGCCATTTTCCTTCACTAATTAAATGCCCTAGATATTTAACCTCTTTTTCTAAAAATTGTAGTTTATTTCTTGAAACTCATGACCCCTTTTGCCCCAGAAAGTTGAGCAGACCAATAGTAGTCTTTAATACTTCTTCTTTTTCTTTCTGGAGATTAATAAGTCATCCACATATTTCAACAGTTGGGTTCCTGCTTTTGGTTGAAATTTCTCCAGGACAGTTTCTAAATATCTGACCAAATAAATTTGGGGCTTCAGTAAAGCCCTGTGGTAGTACCATCCAGCAGTACTGCTATTTTCTTCCAGTTATAGGATTCTCCCATTAAAATGCAAAGAGGTCTCTACTTCGGGAGTCTAAGGGGCATGCCCAAAATGCATCCTTTAAGTCCACCATGCTGAACCATGTGTGTTCATAGGGAATTTTGCTGAGGAGAGTGTAGGAGTTAGGGACCATGGGATGTCAGGCCTGAACAATCTTATTAATAGCCCTTAGGTCTTGTACTAACTGCTAGGTCCCATCAGACTTTCTAACTGGGAGAACAGGGTGTTATATGGTGACATACAGGACTCCAGTAATGTGTCCCTTATGAGGCCCTCAAACACTGGTTGTAGGCCTCCTCTACCCTCAGCAGGATGGGGCACTGGAAGTGACAGGAGTGACTTGCAGGCCTGTCTCCAGGATGGGAAGTCAGACAAGAGCAGCTGCACCAAAAACTCCTATAACTCTAAAAACTGCATTTACAGCCCTGACTTCCAGGAATGTAACAAGAGCGAAGTGTTCCATCCTGAGCGGGCACCTATGAGATCTAAGCTGAATGCAAATCCCACCGGAACCCAGAAAGGGCTTTATGGATGTGGAAAGGAAGTGGATACAGGTTTTAAATAAAACTAAGAATCAATGTGAAAGATTTAGTTTACAATATATTAAAAGGATTGTAAAGCAGCTGTAATTTTAGGCATATTATCACATGTAACTGCAATAGTTCGGTGAAGTCAAAAAGACATCAGCATAAACCAAATAAATTTAGTCAAGTCAGGACTCAATTACAAATAAGAGTAACCCACCTCAACAAAGTCTAAGCAAAACAAAGAAACAAATGGAAAAAAATGTACTGGTCCAATATCAACCACAGGAAGAGGTACACAGTATGGGTCTCAGGGTGTCTAGACTGCCTGGACCTTAAGGCCACCAGCCCACTCTGCTTAGAGCCTCTCTTTACCTCATTAACAGAGACTCCTGATAATGCAGACAGCTCCAGGCCCACACAAACAGATCCATGATTACCCCCATCACAGAGGTCACAGGAAACTCACTCCCTACCCTGGAGGAAACATTCATACACAGGGCGGACATGAAGCATTATGGCTCATGTATCTGGGTCATATAATGCCCCTGTGGTCACACAGCTGGCCTGTAACTGGAATAGAGGAGGAATGTTGGGCAGACCAAAGCAACCACCACCCAAATAATAATTTAGTACACGATGAAGATAGTATTTCAAATCAGTGTTGTTATGGGCTGAATGTGTCTCCCCAAAATTTGTGAGACTGTGAAAAAAGGGACTTCAAGGAGGTCCCTTAGATAAAATGAGATCATAAGGGCAAGTCCCTAATCCTACTGAACTCCTACCTTTATAAGAAGAAACACCAGAGCTGCTCTTTCTACCCAGGAGGACGGTAGCAGGGCATGTGAGGACAGAGCAAAGAGGCCATCTGCAACACAGGAAGACAGGCCTCCCCAGAAACCAACCTGTCAACGTCTCGATTTTGGGCTTTCAGCCTCCAGAACTGTGAGAAAACTGATGCCTGTTGCTTAGGTCATCCACACTGGGATTGTGTTATGGCTGCCTGCACAGATTAATAATTGGCTAAGAGTAATTAGTCACAAGTCATAGGAAAGGAAATGTGGCATTAGAAGAATATTAGGTCCTCACCACACACCAAATCTAGTCAAGCAACATCAGGGAGAGATATCAAAAAATTCAATTTCAACAATATTCCCTTTCAGGGGCTTAAAGACTAGGAAGAACTGACAGCAGGCTCTGCTCCAAAAAGAATGTTCTACAGACATGACAGTTATCAATATTCAGACATAAGTCCTTCAAACAACAAAATACCTGTTTTGCATACTTTCAAGTTACTCAACCATCCTTGAAAAGATTAATTCTAAAAGTAACTTGACACTGTAATTGTAATAGGTAATATTTCTGAAATGAATAGCTATTAAAACCCCTGATACTGCCTTTTTTAACAAGCAGAAACCCACAACTTTGCCACCCTAAACATCACCCTAAAAACAAGGAAACTACTATCTACATGTGACAGGCAAGCTCTAATGTGACCTCTAGTTAGTAACACCTTGATGCAATCCTCTGCCCTCAAGTGTGAATGAACCTAGGATGTGGCTCCAAGAAACAAAGTATGACAAAGGTACATTATGATGTTAAGACTATCCTAGAAGAATAAAGTGAAACCAACTCTTGCTGCCCTTGAAAAAGCAAGCAACTCTGCCATGACCTGCCTATGCAGAGGAAACTGTAGGCAGTCTGCAGTCGACAGAAACAGGCCCTCAGTCACATGCTCTGAAAAACAAATTCGGCCCAAATCTGAATGAGCTCACGAGCAGACTGGTCACTAGTTGAGTTTCCAGATGAGAACATAGCACAACCAACACCATGATTCATTTTCTGAGGTCCTGAGCAGACAACCCAGCTAAGCTGTCCCTACTCCCTGACCCAGAGTGATCCCTCAGTTACATGGCATATGACTATACAAACTCAACCCATATTGGATATAGGAATAGAAATTTTTTCCCTTCAGATACTGCCTTTTTACTGAGTAGAATGACGTAAGGGCTATTGTTCACATGTGTCTAAGTTAACTCAAGATTAAGCTGTTAACAATTAAGTGCCTCATTTGCACATTTGTGTGTGAATAACGCTCCTGTTAGCCTATCTGGATCTGCATAAGATGGAAACTTGATGAAAAGCAGTCTTCCTTAGCAGACGATTAGTAGTAATGGTCACAGTTTTTTTATGTAGGTGAGTAGAAAAAGAACTATCTAGTACAATGTTTTAGATCTCATATATTTAATATACTTTAATGAAGCAAGAGTAGCAGTTAATGTGAAAAATCCAAATATATTTAAGCTACATATTCCAGATGCAGTTATGCCAGGTTTCATCAAGCAGTTTGTCTTAACACAATACTCAGTGCTTAATCCCTATGTACAGGTGGGGGCTGTTCTGTGCACTCCACCCCTTAGTTTCCTCCCTGTCCTCTACCCACTGGATGCCAGTAGCACCCCTCATCCCCTAGTTGTGACACCCCAAAATGTCTTCAGCATTTGCCATATGTCTTTTGGGAGGCAAAATCACCAACAGTAGCAAACCGTTGCTATGTGTTTTCTATCTTCAATAATGTATTTCACAATTCTGTTTCAAAATTTGTATCCATATTACCTACACAGATAGATAGCTTTATCTTCACTAAAAAGTATTTTGTATATTTTTTTAAAAGGTCAGAAGCTTTTTAAAACTTTGACACATCAGATATTTACAAAGATTTACTTTACTCCTAAGGTTCAGTGAAATGTCCCTACCTGATAAAGGCATTCCCAAGCTTTATTGTTTTTGGGGTTTTTTTTTTTTTTCCAGCTGTTTGTCCCCATGATTTGATTTTTCTATAAATTGACTTCAGGATGAAGGTTACAAGACAGGTTTCTCTCCTGTGAGAATCTTCTGATCCAGAAGGACTGGTAACTTCTCTCTGATGGATATAACACATTCAAAACTGAATTAGTGGGGCAACCCCCTCAGGTCCCCCCATGCTAGAACTTTTCTGTCCACTCGATAAATCCTGCTTTCCCACCTTCAAAAAAACGACGACAAAAAACCTGGTTTAGCTACAGTGGGTTGGTTATATTATAATGTAAACAGATTACACATACAATTAATCAAAAAAGTAGGTATTTATTTCTCATTCACATAAGTACAAATGGAGATTTTTGGAGCAGAGGTGGAAACATCTTTGTTCTCCAAATCAATCCCTTCTGCATTAAATCACACTGACCTCCCACCTATGGCTCCCAAGGCCATCCAGGAGGTCATCTGAACTTCAGTCCAAGAAGGTATGAGAAATCGGGGGGAACACATGAACTTCTTGGTTGCCAGGCACGGAAGTAATGAACATTACTGTGTACATACTCCTCAGAGCTGTAACACGATTCTGCCTGCAATAATACAAAGCTGAGAATTGCAGGCTAAATGTAGTTCCAGAGAAAGGAGGATGTTTTAGCAAAACACTAGTCAGTCTGCCATACAGGATTTCTTTCCCGTGTGTGAGTTCTTTGATGTCTATTGAGTTGTGAATTTTGACAAAAGGTTTTTCCACATTTATTACACTCATAGGGTTTCTCTCCTGTGTGAATTCTCTGATGAACAGTGAGGGATGACTGACGGTTAAAAGTTTTTGTACAGGCTTCACATTTATAAGGTTTCTCTCCTGTGTGAGTTTTCTGATGCCTGCTGAGGCTTGAATTCGTGGAAAAGATTTTTCCACATTCATTACACTGATAAGGTTTTTCCCCTGTGTGACTTCTCTGATGTACAGTGAGTGTGGACTTATGGTAGAAAGCTTTCCCACATTTGTTACATTCATATGATTTCTCACCAGTGTGAGTTATTTCATGCACAGTGAGATATGACTTCCTGTGGAAAGCTTTCCTACATACTTTACATTCATAAGGTTTCTCTCCTGTGTGAACTCTCTGGTGTACAGCGAGGTCTGACTGCCTGTGATAAGCTTTCTTGCACTCCTTACATTCATAGGGTTTCTCTGTTACGTGAGTTCTCTGATGTACAGTGAGGACTGACTTACAGTAGAAAGATTTTCTACATTCTTTACATTCATAAGGTTTCTCCCCTGTGTGCGTTCTCTGATGTGCTATGAGGATTGATTTATAGTTGAAAGATTTCCCACATTTGATACATTCATACGGTTTCTCACCTGTGTGAGTTCTCTGATGGACAATGAGGGCTGACTTAGCATAGTAAGTTTTCCTACAGGCTTTACAGTCATAGGGTTTCTCGCCAGTGTGGGTTCTCTGATGGACAGTGAGGGCTGTCTTATCATAGAAAGTTTTCCTACAGGCTTTACATTCATAGGGTTTCTCACCCGTGTGAGTTCCCTGATGCCTGATGAGATTTATCTTCTGGCAAAAGGTTTTTCCACATTCATTACATCCATAGGGCTTCTCCCCTCGGTGTATTCTCTGATGCATTGTAAGGATTGATCTCTGAGAAAAGGATTTCTCACATTCATTACATGCATATGGCTTCTCCCCTGTATGTGTCCTTTGATGCCCCGTTAGGGCTGATTTGCTAGTAAAGGGCTTCTTACATTTGGTGCACGTATAAAGTTTCTCTCGTGTGTGTAATTTCTGACGTCTAGTGAGTTTAGACTTCCTAGAGAATGTTTTTCCACGTACATTGCGTTCCAAAGTTTTTCTCCATACCTCACTCATCTCTTGGGCAATGAGAGCTGACTTACCATGGGCTTTCCCATATTCATTATTTTTACAGGAGTTCTCTCCCATATGAACCCTCTGACGTGTCAATAATGCTGCCTCTATGTGGCAGGCTTTCTCTTGTCCACTATATTCAAAAGGCTGCTGTCCAGTTTGAAACTTGTGATACTGACTAAAACACTCAGAACACCTGTGGGATTTCTCAGCTATATGACAGTCATCAGGATTCTTTCCAGTTAGCATCTCATCAGGCTCACTAAGGAGAAGTGCATTTTGATGTAAGTTGAGTTCTTTAGACATCATTTCTGAATAGTTTCTATCCTTTATCATCAGTTTTGAAATATGGTTTGAACTCAAATTAAATGTTTTTCCTAATTCAACTTTCTCCACAGGTAATGTGTTGCCATTGGTGATCACAACTTGCCACAAATGTCTCTTTTGACTTTCATGGCTCCTCTCGATTGGGTCATCCACTTTCTGGACATCTAAAATAAACACAAAATAATCATATCTTATAGAAGGTTCATGTAAATGTAAATAAGTTTATTTCTATCCTTGTGCGAGATTTCAAAGTATCAATAATAGGTATTGATTTAGAAAAAGTATATATCTTCTTAGTTAATGTAATAAATTACAACTATATATACTCCAATGTTAAACATTTGTTCTTTGCTGCTTTAGGTATTTTTCCTTTAGTACATGCAAAAATAATTAGTCAAATTATTCACCTACTGCTAGATGTAGTTTTAAGCAAGTGCTTTTCATTTGCCAGTTTTTCCTGGTTTTCTTCTCTAGCTTTTTTTCTTATAATAACTGTGAGTATTCTAGGCTGCTCCTTTGCTGACCTTTCAGTTTTGAAGATGACTAGGTTTTCAAGGGTAAGTAATTTGCAGGACACAGGTGGGGTACATTTGGCTACATCTAAGCAGGAATATGGCTTAGGAAAAAATACTTATATCTATATTTGTTTGTTACTCTTCACTGGGGAATGGCTAAAGACATCTGTGAGGGTATTCTGATGCAAACTCTCTTCTTCTCCACACAAAGACAGCATCCTCCAAATTCCTCAACTAACCCAACATGATCTGCTTTTCAGAACCCTATCATATAGAGGAAGCTCCAGTTCACCACCCCGGGAAATCCCTCCCTGTTCGTCCAAAGCATTTGGTTCTGCAACAAAGCCTGTGCCTGTCATCTTAAAAAACATTTTCCTGGCTCCATCTGAGAACAACAGCCTGGCATTCTTCCCCACATTCCTGTTACACACACCCATGCTTGAAAATTCACTGTTTCTGAAGGCTTTTATGTTGTCCACTAGAGTTTCAGCTGTCTCCTAGTTTCAGAGAAAACAGAGTCTCTTGCACATATCTCATCTTCTTTGTTGTTTTAGAATGACTTCCACAAAAGGAAGGGGAAAATGCTAACTTCAAACTCTACTTCCCAAAACAGAAATCAGAGCCCTTCCCCATGAAACCCTTGGCTCACTTGGATTTGAGACTCAGAATCTCATGGTTTGTCTCCCACATCCAAGACCACCTCTGTCCATGTTCCCATAGGGGGCCCTCCACAGCTTCGTGATTTCTGATGCTGTGGCACAGAAGACTCATTCCTGAACCTCTTTTCTTATGTTCTCATCAACTACCTAGGTGAGCTCCTCTATAAGTATGACTTTAAGTGCCAGTGTTAAGCTACCAATTTCCAAATTTGTATCCCGAATAAAGCTGTACACACTCAAAACTAGATTTTTATATATACCTATACAATATATGTCAAATTTGGAAAATAGTCATCTCAAAATTAGGCTACTTCAAAGAGAAGAAATAAGAATCTCCCCAAAACGGGTGTTTCTAAAAACTAGATTTAATAAATTGGTGAATAAATGCCTCAAGGCTAACAGACTGCAAAAATAGAAAAGAAGGAATTTAGGGAAAGTATCTAACCAAGAAAAGAGTACAAGAAAGGCCAGGTAAGAATTCAATTTTTGGTAAGTCTAAGAAAAGATTCATCAGAAACAAAAAAGGGAAAAAGGGATTTACACATAAGGGCTCTCCTTGGATTTCTTATATGTGTAAGTCTGTTACGTGAGATCAGCTGTCTGCGGGTTTTGGACCTGAAGGAAAAACTGGTGAAAACAGCTGAAAATGGCCAACATCTGCTGGGTGTTCCTCCTCCCAGCCTCCCTTCCCTGAACGCACTGACTGACCTGAGAGGCTCCGGTGTGAGGGTTCACAAACTGTCCACGGCTCTGCTCCTTGCTCCAACCTGAAGATCACCTCAGGCTTGGTCATGCAGTGCCCTGTTAATGGGAAATCAAATAGGACAATGGCAAACTGCAAAGCTAGAGCCTGTGAAGAATAACTGCTTGGCTGCAGGAGCTGTGCGATGAAGGAGCCAACTCGAACCTGTCATTTGAAGTGAGTGACACATTCCTCACGGACCGGAATCTTACTCCTAAACAGCATAAACCTTATGAAGGATTTGTGTCTCCTTCAACAACAAAGAAAACGTTGCTCCTAGGAGTTGCTGGGGATTTTCACTCACCCAAGGACAGCAAGCTGCTGTAGGTCTCCAGCATCACATCCCTGTACAAGGTCTTCTGAGCACTGTCCAGGTCCTGCCACTCTTCCAAGCTGAAATCCACAGCCACGTCCTCAAAGGACACCAACACCTGTAACAGCACATTTCTCCTCAACACAAGTCATCAGCATGGGATAACAAAACAATAAGTCTGGGATTACATTATTTTATGTGTGCTTGTGTGTCTGAAAACTATCCCATATAGGAATATCCAATAAGTTAACAGACAAAAATAACACATGCTCAGACAATAACAAAAACAATGAAAACACAAAATACCTAGCAATACATTTAACAACTAAAAAAATACACAGTTACATAAAGGAAGAAAAAAGTGAAGAAATTTTTAAAAATGTCTAAGCAAATGCAAAGACATACTATGTTCATGGACAGGAAGATTCTACATCATAAAGATGTTAACTCTCCTTCAGTCAGTAAACACACTTAACATCTCAATGGAAACAACACATTCTCAGATATAATCAAGCTGATTTAAAAGCTTATGTAGAAAATTAAAGAAGCAAGAATAGACCGTTTATGACAGGCTATATTTCTGTCCACTAAAATTTAGTCTCTCTCCCTGTATTAGTCAGCTCAGGATACCATAACATATTTCACAGACAGAGCAGCTGAAACAACAGAAGTTTTGTTTCTCATAGTTCTGCAGGTTGGGAAGTCTAAGACAATGTGTGGGTCCTAATCCAGTCTGCCTTATAAAAGAGACACCAAGGATTGAAGGAGACCAGAGCATAAGCTGACAAGGTCCTTGTGTTCTTGGCTTGTGTTAAGGAACCAAGCCTATACTGCCTCATCTCAGAGCAGATGTGATGTGGGGGACAGACAAGCACTGCCACTGTAGCAGGCCTTGAGTACCCCAGGCTTGTAGGAAACAGTCTTGCCTGGAAACTCTGCATTCTAGCCAACGGCAGGTGAGGGATGTAGCCTGCTATGTAAAACGTAGTGGGCCTTGAGTACCCCAAGCTCGCAGGCAAGGTCTCGCTTGGAGGCTCTGCATCCTAGCCAAAGGCAGGTTGTGAGGAATGCAGTCTGCTACACGAAGCAGTGTCTCAGATGCCCACACATCCAGATAAAGCCTTAGCTACAATAAAGCCCTAGGTACAAAAAGATAAACACAGATCAGCTCGCCTTCTAATAGCAACATGATTCCACTGTGGTTCGCTCATTTCCCCTAACCTTGATTTGTTACTTTAAAATAAAGCAAAGCGACATGATGTCAATCACACTTGGCCCAGATGCCCGACCCAAACGCTGATATTGCTTGTTTTTACAATAATCCCTTATACAGTTTTGCCCTATATAAGAAGCATGCTAGCCGGGCTCGGTGGTTCGGCCTGTAATCCCGCACCTTTGGGAGGCTGAGGTGAGTGGACTGCCTGAACCTGCGGGTTCGCGACCTGCCTGGGCAACTTGGTGAGACCTCATCTCTACAATAAATAAAAAAAATTAGCCGGGCGTGGCGGCGTGCGCCTGTAGTTCCAGCTACTTGGAAGGCTGAGGCGGAAGGATAGCCGGAGCCCAGCGGGTCGAGGCTGCGGTGGCCGGGAGCGGCCACTGCCCTCCAGTCTGGGCGACAGAGTGAGACGCCAACTCAAAAAAAAAAAAGAAGCATGCTAAATAATGAACGGGCTCTCACCTATTGAGGAGAGAGACCTCCCAATCCCGCTGTCTCTTGTCTTTCTCATTCCCTCCCCCCACCTCAGGCCCTGCTCTGTGGAGGCTGGACCTCTGCAAAGGATGTGTGAATGGGTCTATGTTGGCCATCTTTAAGCCAAAGAGAGAGCTCTCTGGAGAAACTAGCCCTGCAGACAGCTTATTCTCAGATTTCCATCCTCTAGAACAGGGAGAAAATGAATTTCTGTGGCTTAAGCTGCCAATTCTGTAATATTTTTGTTATGGCAGCCATAGCAAACAAATGCAGTATACTTTGAGACATTATTTTTCTATTGATTACTCTAAGGGTTTACAAAATGAATATTTGATTGATCACAATCTACCTGGAATAGCGGTGTACCCTTTCACATAAAATATAGAAACTTGTCAACGGAATAATAACCTTATAATCCCTATACTATATACTATTGTTTTTATATATTGTTTACATATCGAATCTGCATACATTGTGAGTCCCTCATATGCAGTTACAATTTTTGCTTTAAACAATCATATTCATTTTAAAGAAATTATGACTGGCTGGGTTTGGTGGCTCATACCTGCAATCCTAGCACTTTGGGAGACCAAGGCAGGAGGATAGCTTGAGTCCAGAAGTTTGAGACCAGCCTGGGCAACATAGTGACACCTCATCTACAAAAAAATTAAAAAGCTAACTGTACTTGGTTGCATACACCTGTAGTACCAGCTACTCAGAAGTCTAAGATGAGAGGATGGTCTGAGCCCAGGAGCTGGAGGCTGGGGTAGCTGTGATCATGCTATTGCATTCCGGCCTGGGTGAGAGTGAGACTCCAATTCAAAAAAAAAAGGAGGAGGAGGAAAAGATATCAAGACAAGAACACATTATATATAGTCCTTTATGCTTACCTACACAGTTACCATTTTTGGTGATTCTAATTATTTCCCGTCCATTGAAATTAGCATCTGGTTATCATTTTCTTTCATACTGGAGTACTTTACGTTAGCTTTCTTGTAATGTAGGTCTACTGGTGATGAACTATTTTGGTTTTTGTTTATCTGAGTATGTCTTTATTTCACCTTAAAATTTTTAGGATAGTTCCACTTTGGTTTTTGTGGCTATGTATTTTAAGGCTGTAGGAATTTTTAATATATATTCTGTATATTATCCCTTTATGAGATAATATGATTGGCAAATAATTTCTCCCATTCCATGAGTTGCCTGTCCACTGTTGACGGTGTCTTTTGATGTACCAAAAGTTTTAATTTTACACAGTTCCACTTATCTTTTTTTCTTTTGTTGCTTGTGCTTTTGGGTCACAGCAAATAAATTATTGTAAACTCCAATGTCATCAAATTTCTCCCCGTTTTTTCTTAACTGAACAATTTATATTCACAGTTTTAGTTTGATACCATAGCATAAAGTGAGATGATTGCTATTTATTCATTTAGAAACTAATATTTAATTGAAATTACAACTATCAATGTTTACAGTTAAGGAGATCTTTCATCTCTAATGACTTTACCAGTGTTCTAAATTTGCCAAATTCTTTTGGCTAAGTAAGTTGCTAAGGCCGGCCTGTATTCAACAGGAATTAGTTTCCACATCAAGGGCAGGAGTAGGAAACAATGTGTTGCCATCTTAAAACTATGACAAATGTCACTGTCACATTTTGTTCAGTATACAAGGGAGGACTCCCAAAACACTGGAATTTTTTTTAGAAAAAATTGGGTATTTATTCTTACATGTTTAAACTTTAGTCACCTTCAAAGTACTCTCCATTTGATGCAATATATCAAGATGTTTTTTCCACTGCGCACATACAGTTTTTAACTCATCAGTTTTAATATCTTTAGTGCTTCTGCCATGTTTTGGTTTCACCTCTTTCACATCAGCAAAACGGTTCCCTTTGAGGACTTTTTTAATCCAGGAAAACAAAAAAAAAGTTGCTCTCAAGATGAGATCGGGTGAAAAAGAAGGGTGGGGCACAGAGTTCATGCCATTTTGGGTCAAAAACTGCTGAACACTCAACGAGGTGTGGGCAGGTGCACTTGTAAGTCATTTATCATGAAATGAGCAAACGAGTGAAAGAGTCTCCAAAAATAAAAATTCACTGAAGTTGAACGCAGCCTCTCACAACTACAATAGCTGGTATGATGATGCCAGTGGGTTCCTAGAACACTTACCTACCAGGGAAAGCCTATACTACAATGGCTTATCCTCCAAAAACATAATTCTGTTTTTTGGGGGGGGCTCCCCATCGTACGTTCTTACTCCCATTGTGATTTCTTCTTTTATTCACAGATTATTTGGAAGCATATCATTTAATTGCTAAATATTTGAGGCTCTTCTGAATTGCTTGCTGACTTCTAATTTTTCTAACTTGAGACTGGTTTTATTGCTCAGCAGATGCTCTGTCTCAGTGAGTGTTCTACATAGTGCTTTATAAATACCGGTCAGGTCAAGATAGTGCCTTTCATGTCTATATTCTTACTCACTTTTGTCTGGTTGTTCCACCGATTACTAAGGACTATTAATTGTTCGACTCTAATTGTGAGGTTTTTGAGTTCCCCGTTTAGTTCTGTTGTTTTGTTACATGTCCTTTACCATGGTTATATCATCCTTATATATGACCTGTTTATTATTATCAAAGATATGTCTTTGTGGGAATACATTTTGTGCTGGAGTTTATTTTGCCTGGTAATAAGATCTCCATTTCAGTTTTTTAATATTAGTGTTTACGCAGAATATCTTTCATCCTTATATGTTCAGTCAGTATATTTGTATTTAAAGTGTGTCTCGCATACTATTGAGTCTGCTTTTGTTTAACCAAGTCTGACAGTTTCTGCTTTTAGTATTTACTTTATTTACATTACACCAGTAATACGGTTGAATTTAGGACTGCCATTTTGCTACCTATCTTCTGTTTTTCTCATCTGATGTTGCTCCTCTATTTCCCATTTTCTATCTTCTTTTGGGTCAAAACATTTTTAGTATTCAATAGTTTTTCCTTCTTTGTTGGCACTGCATGGAGGCATTAGAGTAAAAATTTTCCAACAAAGAAATTAAAGTGGCAGAACTTGACATCGAATGAGATTAGGCTTGAGGGAGACGGAGGAGTTCAGAAAAACAAAAACAGAAACACCCTTTTGGTGGTTTGGGTCAAGGCTGGTTGGTAGTAATACCAGATGTAAGGGAAGAATGGAGGATATGGTTTTCATTTTGGCTTCGTTGAGCTTAGGGTGGCTTTTGAGTAAGCTACAAAGAAGTATTCAATAGTGAGCTGAACATATGGCCTAAAGGCTGAGGAAGACTATCGAACTACAGAGGGCAAAATCAGTAAAGGAAAACCGTAGAGAGGAAGGATGGGGAATTGGATGAAGTTAAGGATTTGAATTGGAAGTTAAGGATTAAAACAAATAGAAGAATTCAGGGAAAGAGAGAAGAGATCACCATCAAGGTCATGATAGAAAGTGTGAAAGGTGATCATACCAACTGGGTCATTCTTGACATATGCAACTAAATCAGAGTCGAGGGCTTGGGGCAAAAAGCACTCAGGGCATACACCACGTGCTCCAAGAATGTAATTTTCCCCAAGCGCAGCTGATGAAATGACCTGCCATGACTCTAAGACTGGTTTTATCTACTATTGTCCTTCACCAATCTGAGCCTGCCAGCTCCCAAAAGCTTTAGTGCCAATGAGCTATCTTTCAAAACAAGAGATAACATTTCTATTTCTAATAAAACTCCCAACCTTCTCTTTGTTCTTCAGACTTACCAAAGAAGACCCTGGTGTCTGTATATGCTCCAGATTACAATTCTGTGATTACCAAGTGAAATGTTTATTTTAGAGATTCATCTCCATATTTTATTTTGACTTTGACAAAAGAGAAAAGCATTCCCAGGAGAAGATCAAGGATAATAGTTTCAAATATGCAGAAGATTCAAGTAAGACAAAAATTAGAGAAGAGTCATTGGATTTAATTATAATTTAAGTTATTGGTGAACTTTTCAAGAACTGAACTAAGACTACATTGAGTAGGCTAAAGTGCAAATGAACCACAGAAATGTTTATCAGAAAATATTAACTACAGACAGTCTGTGCTAAAATTTGCACATACAGACTAGCTGAGAGAAATGCAAGTATGGTTATTTTAGGACCTGCAGTCGATTCTGTCCTTAACATATTCCAGGTTTTATCTATGTATGGGTGGGGTGGGGGCTTCCATAAGCTGTCTGGGAGCTCACTATTTTAGCAACTTGGGAAAAATCTCACTGATTTGTGTTTTTTTGGGTTTTTGTTTTTTTTTTTTTGGAGTTGGAGTCTCACTCTGTCGCCCAGGCTGGAGTGCAGTGGCACGCTCCTGGCCACCGTATCCTTGACCTACTGGGCTCTGGCGATACTTCTGCCTCAGCCTTCCAAGTAGCCGGAACCACAGGTACACACTACCACGCCTGGCTAATTTTTGATTTATGGTGGAGACGAGGTCTTGTCAAGTTGCCCGGGTGGGTCTAAACCTGCGGGTTCGGGCAATCCACTCGCCTCGGGCTCCCAAAGTGCTGGGATTACAGGCCGAGCCACTGAGCCCGGCCTAATTTGTGTTTTTATTACTAGATAACTGTAGAACACTGAGTGTTTATTTCCAGGTTGATAATTAAATACTGCCCACTACATCATCTATGAGACCAATAAAGACTATTCCAGACTTCATATCCCGAGAGATCCCGTGATAATTTAGCATATACTCCTCTTAGGGTAAATTGAAATCATCTAACAAATGTGTCTTTTTGCCATGGTATCAGAAAGACCACAGACCAATTTAGATGACTTTAAGGTCATATAACCCGCCCATATCAACAGGCCAATTTTATCTTGTTTATGTATATTTCTCTGATGTTGAATTTTATTTTTACTTTTCCATTTTAATTAATGAACTTTTATAAAACTTCTAAAATATGATGTCAAACAAGGTGACGAATTAACAACTTACCAGAGAGATACTCATTTTCTCTGCTCTTAGAAACACGTAGAGGACTCTGGAATTATAGCTGAAAGAGAAGGTGAAAGGAGGGGCGTCATGAGAGAAGTGGTGTTGGTTGTTCCTATACACTACCATGCAAAGATCTCTACATTTAAGCTGGGGAAAAACAACAACAAAAAAGCTTCTGTATAAGGAAACAGTGCCTTGCACATGAGAATGGGCAAGATAGACCTTATTGAAGGAGCACCCACAGTTCTATTAATTGGCAGAGATTAAACACCAAATTCATCCTTGGGTTATTAACAACATTTATTTGCTACTGGTTTAGTAAAAATTAATTTTACCATGAGGAAATAACCTAAAATTTTAAAGATGGTTGTTCAGGTAAATTACAGTAGTCCAAAGAAAGAAACATTATGCCATCACTAAAATTCACACCCTAGAAATAGATTTGGGTAGTAGTAACTATTTCTTTTTACCACTGACCTACCACACAGGACTCTGTATTACTGGTTCCACTAGGACACGAGGTGCTTTTGGATACCTAAATTCATAGAGTATACGTCTTTCAATCTAACATTTCTGGCCCACGACCGTGAAAAAAAATGTACCTAATGTTTGTCTATTACGGTGCACTTTTTCAGTACTGGGTCCCAGTGACACAACTCTCTATATCCACACCTTCACCTAGTTTCCTCCCACAATGACCCCGACCTCTGCCATTTCCTTTGCTTTGTGCAATGGCGCAACAGTAAATGTGACACAAACTGTGAGTTTTGAGAAGTATTTGCCCACTGGAGTTTATCTTCTTGGAATGCTTTCATCCTGTAAAGAAGCCTGGGGTTTCCCTATCGGATACACAAGGCCTAACCGAGAGCGAGCACAAACCACCAGACGTGTGCGTGAAGTCACCTTCAACAAACCAGCCTCAGTCAAGACGCCAACGACTAAAGGTTTATCTGTAATCCTGGGCAATATTAGCATAGGTATTGCCCAGCTGAGCCCAGCCCAAAATGCTGACTCATGGAATCAAGAACAAATAACCCAGTAAGTTTTGTTTTTTAAACCCAGTAAGTTTTGTTGATTCATTACACATCAAACTCAGAAACACCTAATTTCCCAGAATTGTACGTTTTTAACATATTGGTAAATAGGGAAGAAGTGAATAACAAGCTAAATACAATCAACAGAACATCACAATCACATGTAGATGCTTCATAAGCACTATAAAGCTCAACCTGATGGGCCTCAGCAAGGTTGCTAGCACTGAGAAGTGACATGAATTATACAAAGAAACTGTCTGGGCCAGGTGTGGTGGCTCACACCTGTAATCCCAGCACTTTGAGAGGCCAAGGCAAAAGGACTGCCTGAGGCAAGGCTTTCGAGGTCGGCCTGGGCAACATGGTAAGACCTGTCACTACAATAAGCCAAAAAAATTAATCAGGCATGGTGGCATGCACCTCTAGTTCCAGCGGCTTAGAAGCTGAGGTGGAAGGCTCACCTCATATCATGAGTTTGTTACTTATATGTTGGTATTGTGTTTTATTTATATTTTTAAAAACTAAGTGTAACTCAGTCTAATTTTCTCACTTTACATATTGGAAAATAGATTTCGGTTAATTTGTTGTAGAATGTATCATTTTCAAAAACAGATTACTGGCATTAAGGAAGGAAAACCTGGCTTATTAACCCCTTGGGCTCCTATAATGCACAGAAAGCACTGGGGGATAAAAGACATGTTCGGGCACAGTTTTCTAAAACAATGTTTGCTCTAAATTAACTGCAGAGTTTCTGAAACCGATCTCAAAAATAAACAAGAGTTTTGACTTGTGGCAAAATTGATAACACTAGTCAAAAGGTTCCTGACACCTACAAATTATGTGACCCTAGGTAACTCAATTATCTACTCCAACCCTTTTCTAAAAAACTTGCTTATATGACAGAAAGGCCCTGACAAATCCTTCCTGAACTTAGGAAAAATTATCATGATGGAAAGAGCATCAGCGTATCTCTCAACACCAAAGAGAGTGACAGATTAGGTTGGAGAGAGCTCCAATTCTGAAACTAATGAGGGTAGAATAAAGCAATGGCGGTATGCGAGCTAACAAAGTAGGCAGATTCTCGCAGCTATCACAGGCTACCCCTTCAGTGCCACACCACAGGCTAGCCCTCCACCCTGGCCATGCCCTCAGGATTCCTCCCGTAAGCACTATCTTCTAGGCCCTTATTGCCTAGCCATCCCTCAGCCCAACTTAAATTTCCCGGCTGAGAGTCGATCCCAGCCTCCCAAGATCCCCCAGTACTCGACAGCTTCTGGATGAGGCAGTGCCTCTTAGATCCTCTTGTTCACCCCGGGCAGCAGGTCCAGTCGTGGCTTGGGCCCTGCAAAGCCAGGGTCTTCCACTCTGTGGGACTCTTACGGCTGTGCTCTGAAGCGCTAGGAGGAAGGTTCGGGCCAGAGGGGTGCTCTTTCAGGCAGAACTCCTATCTGAGAAGCCTCCTCCATCACGCTGCACAAGAACCACCGTGCTCCAAGGAAACCAGGACCTTGGCCGGCGGCAGTGGTTCAAGCCTGCAACCCCAGCACGGCGGGGCCGGGTGAGAGGACGGCCTCAGCCCGCAGGTGCGAGACCGTGCCTGGGCAACTTGGTGAGCCCTCGTCTCCACAGCAAATCGGGGCGCTAGCAGGGCGTGGTCGCGTGCGCTGCAGCTCCGGCTGCTTGGAAGGCTGGCGCGGAAGGGTCGCCAGAGCCCGGCGCGCGCCGCCGCACCCGAGCCTGGGCGACGGGGCGAGCCTCCTGGGACGAGGGCCTCTTCCAGTCCCGATGAACTCAACCCACGAGCTCCAGGCAGGCCAGCAGAAACCACTGGCCGAAGACAGGCCGAGAAGCCCCGCACACAACTGCCGCGCCCGAGATTCCGC